CTATGTCATTTTCATATTGTCTCTGAGCTCCCTTCTTATCTGTGCATATTCGTTTCTGGCTCTTCGGCTGATTTCTTTATTTTCCTGAGTTCTCTGTCTTCTGTACCTTTTCCATTCTCTAGTACACCTAGTTTTTGCCTCCCTACACCTTTGGGTGAACCAAGGACTCGTTCTGTTCTTCCCATTATTTCTGTTTCCCTTGGGAACAAACCTCTCTTCTGCCTCCTTGCATTTTGTTGCTACATAGTCCATCATTTCTTGTACTGGTTTTCCTGTCAGTTCCCTCTCCCACTGAATGTCGTGAAGGAAGTTCCTCATGCCTGAGTAGTTCCCCCTTTTGTAGTTTGGTTTTTCCCAGCCTATTCCTGCTACTCTCTCCACTTGGAGCTCAACTATGTAGTCGAAGCACAGAACCACATGATCACTAGCTCCCAGGGGCCTCTCATACATGATACCCTCGATGTCCGAACTACTCATGGTGAATACAAGGTCCAGCCTTGCTGGTTCATCCTCTCCTCTCTCTCTGGTAGTGTCTCTAACATGTTGATGCATGAGGTTTTCCAGTCCCACACCCTATCATCTTGGCTCTCCATGTTTCGGGACCCCCATGGGGCTCCAGGTTTTCCCAGTCAATCTCCTTGTGATTGAAATCACCCATAACTAGTAACTTTGCTCCCCCCATGTGTGCTCACCTGGCCACCTCGGCTAGTGTGTCAATCATTTCTCTGTTGCTCTCATCGTATTCTTCTCTTGGCCTCCTGCAGTTCTGTGGTGGGTTGTACATTACTGCAATTATCACCTTATGTCCCTCAGACTGGATTGTTTCTACTAAGTAGTCCCTTTTGCCCGTGCCATCCATTCCTTCCATTTTCTCAAACCCCCACTGGTTTTTAATGAGCAGTGCAACTCCTCCTCCCCCTCTCCTCCCTCTGTCTTTCCTGAGGATTTGATATCCGGATGGAAAGATTGAATCTGTTATTAATCTGGTGAGTTTTGTTTCTGTGAGTGCTATTATGTCTGGGGATGTCTCTTTGATTCTTTCGTGCCACTCCTCATACTTGTTTGTTATTCCATCTGCATTTGTATACCACACCTTCAACTTCTTTTCTAAGACTGTGGTCTGGGAGGTATATTGGGGTTGGGGAAGTGGGAGACCTGGTAAGGAACTATGGGTTGTTGCTGTGGGGGTAGAGTTTGTAATGTAGTGGGTGGGGGCATTGGATGTGGCATGGGTGTTTTGATTTAGTGTGTTTGGTTGCACTGGGGTTGACCTGGTTGGGAGGCTTCTATAGGAAGTTGTGAGGGAGGCTGTATTTGATCTTCTTCCTGGGTCTGGGATCTCCTGTCTGTCTTCTCCATCCCCTCTCTTTCCTCCTTTCGCCTTTGTACCATCTCTCTCAGTTTCTGCCTTTCTTCTTGTGTTCTGTCGCGGTCGAGATACACCTTCCTGTATGCCGGCATGTCCCTTAATCGTGCTTTCTCCTGCAGGATCCTGGTCCGAGTCGCTTCTGCCTTGAAGGTCACTCACTGGCCGGGTTCTTTTTTTTACAAACCCCCTATTCTCCGAAAATTTTCCAGCTGGGTCATGTCGTCTTCTCCTATTGCTTTCATGATGCTTTCAATTGCTTTTTTTCCCCTTGTTTTCTTGCTTCATATGTTTCCCCTTCAACTTCCTGGAGCCCATACACAAAGACTGACCTCACCCTTTCATTCTCCCACTGCATATCCCTGTGTATCCCCTCATTTAATTTGGTTTCCTCCACTGCAGCTTTCCTTTCATCAGTTTCACTGGCTAATGTACTTGGGCTCAGTGGCCTGTCATTTTCCCTTCTCGCTTTCCTTGGGCTCTGTTGTTGTCTGTTAGGGCCTCCACATAAAGCTTAGCTCTTTCATTTGCTACAGTCTCCTCTGATAGAGCTTCTCCATGCAGTTGTGCCCCTTCTTTCCCTACAGTCCCCTTATTTGTGGCTGAGGTAGCAGTCTCTGTTGTCAATCCCAAAATGTTCTTTAGTTCTTTAGGCTGTTTCAGATTTTTTCAATTCCTCTTCTAAACTCTGTATCCTAGCTTCTGCTGCTTTGACGTGCACCTCCCACTTCCTGCTTTCCATATCTATCCTCTCTTCCATTCTCATGCTAAGTTCTTCTAGTTTCTTTTCCCATTCATGATCCCTTTTTATGAGCTCTGCTGCCCAATCTTCCTTTGCAGTTTCCTCCTCCTGTCCCTTGGTTTTTCTTGTTGCTCTCTGGCAACCCATTTTTGTTTTATCCTGATTGCCTCAGAGTGGGAAACCTATGTAGTTCTGTATGTTAGGTTAGTAGTGTGTGTGTCAGGGTGTGGAGGGGGAGGTAGTGGAGGAACTGTAGCTATGTGGGAGAGGAGTGGGGAGGGTTTAGGGTGAACGGGGGAGGGGAGGGTGATCGAGGGAGGGGAGGGATCAGGGGAAGTAGTGAGATGTCGGTGGTGAGGGGGGGAGTGTATGTGTGAGTCTGGATATGTATGTGTGTGTGTGTGTGTGTGTATGTGTATGTGTGCATGCACACACATGTGCACAAACACACACACACTCACACACTCACACACACACACTCACACACTCACACACACTCACACACTCATACATACACACACACACACACACACACTCACACACACACACACTCACACTACACACACACACACACACACACACCCCACACCACACACACACACACACACACACACACACACACACACACACACACACACACACACCCACACACACACACACTCTCACACACACACACACACTCACACACACTCACACACACTCACACACACTCACACACACACACACACAAAGCTGTGCATAGTGAAAGTTCCTTCTTACCTCTGAATTAGTGGTGCCGGTAATACACTTAAATTTACCACAAAAAGAAACCTTCGATTACTTCAATAATACACTAAACTTTGGAATAAAATAATTCAGTAAATAAGGAAAACTAGACTAATCTTTACTGATGCATTAATTCTTTTCAATATACAATGAATTCTGAATTTAAATTTAAGTTCAAAATTTCCACACGAGTGAAAATTCCAAATTAAAATTTTTAGTTTGCCAAGTAAAAATTTACCTTAGGGTCAAACTTTGACACAAGTTGGCAGCTAGTATCACCTTTCACCTGACTGGTTATCTCTGCTGGTAGTGTACTTAAACCATACAAGTAATTTCACAAATCTAGAAAATATTAATTTTTCCGCACCACAGTTTCTTCAACCCCTCTTCCTCCTCCCACTTCTCCCCTCTTTTATACCCCTAATTTCTTCCCTCCCTAATTTCTTCCCTCCCCCCTAATTTCTTCCCTCCCCCCTAATTTCTTCCCTCCTCCCTAATTTCTTCCCTCTCCCCTAATTTCTTCCCTCTCCCCTAATTTCTTCCCTCCACCCCTAATTTCTCCCCCCCCTAATTTCTTCCCTCCCCCCTAATTTCTTCCCTCCCCCCTAATTTCTTCCCTCCCCCCTAATTTCTTCCCTTTCCCCTAATTTCTTCCCTCCCCCCTAATTTCTTCCCTCCCCCCTAATTTCTTCCCTCCCCCCTAATTTCTTCCCCCAACCTAATTTCTTCCCCCAACCTAATTTCTTCCCTCCCCCTAATTTCTACCCTTTCCCCTAATTCCTTCTTCCCTAATTTCTTCCCTCCCCCTAATTTCTTCCCTTGCCCTTAATTTCTTACCTCCCCTTAATTTCTTCCCTCTCCTTAATTTCTTCCCTCTCCCTAATTTCTTCTCTCTCCCTAATTTCTTCCCTGTCCCTAATTTCTTCCCTGCCCCCTAGTTTCTTCTCTCCTTAATTTCTTCCTTCCCCCTAATTTCTTCCCTCCCCCTAATTTCTTCCCTTCCCCTAATTTCTTCCTCCTAATTTTTTCCTCGACCCCTAATTTTTTTTCTCCCCTAATTTCTTCCCTCCCCTAATTTTTCCTCTCACCCTAATTTCTTCCCTCCCTTATCCCTTAATTTCTTAACTCTCCCCATATATTATCCTTTCCACAATTTTCATCCTCAACTTCTATTCACCTTCCCTCTATTTCTCCCTCCACCTTCCCACTATTTGTCCTCAACATCTACAACAGTTTCTCCCCTCCGCCATTTCCCCTTTCCATTTCCTCCTACCCCTTTCTTACTTCCACTTTCACAACTTTCTCCCCTTCATCCCCTCTACTTTCTCCTCTCCTTTAACTACTATTTCCCCTCCTGTATCACTTTACTTCATGCACCAACCACGCTTATTCTCCTCTCCTACCAGTGGATTAAATTTAAATGCAATACATCAGCACTTGAAGACTATTTTTTTCTATCAACATGTGTCTTTCACTAAGATAGGGTGACCCCGTAACTTAAATACGAGTTAACTCTTCCACCATCATTCATTTAATTGCTGTTTTGCCAGAAGTGTGCTGATGTCGCAGTTCAAATTGAATATAACATCCCTACCCTGGCTCCAGAGTGCCTGCATTCTGTACTTCCCACTTCCAGGACTCGAGTCTGGCTAACCGGTTTCCCTTGAATTCCTTCATATGGGTTACTGTGCTCTCACTCTTAACAGCACGTACATTAAAGTATTAATGCTCTACATAAATTTCAGCATAGTGCAAACATGTGACAGAAATTTGATATAATTTAGAGTAATTATGATAATGATGCTATCATATTAATAATAAATGGAATTACTTGAAATTTGGCATTTAAGTAGATTTTTCACATTGTAAAAGTTTATAGCCAATTGAAGTGGAAAAATTTAACTAGAGGAAAAATGCTGTAACAAGTTTCATGAACACCACTGAAGATATTTTAGAATTTGTCCCTTAAGTAATATGTTTAAATATTCTCTGTTGGATATCAATGCAATCAGTGTCATTGGTGGAACTTGCTAGTTTGAATTGGCATGGCATAATTTAGGCTTTGTAAGATTGCTCGAGTGTAGTTGTATTAGTGTCAGATTCTGTGATGGATGAACGTTCTTTCAGCTCTCAAAGGTTACTTCTACTCAGGGCATCAGCAAACCAGAACCCAAGAACTCGCCCAAGGATGTGTTAATGAAGGTAAACTGTCTGTGCATCCATCACCCCCTTATTGTGGGTAGTGTTTTTGATTTTAGTGTTTATACATTACTTGCAAAAAGTTGAAGATCTGCTTTGTGTGTGTGACATGTTTTTTGATGCTGCTCTTGCATGATATGTAGTGCAATTTTTTAATGAATTTTGGTACCTGGACTTTTCATCTTAGTTTTTTAACATCTTTTGTAATATATTTCTCTTGTAGACTTTCTTTAAGCCATCTCAAGAATTAGCCCAAAGCAGATCTCTTATATATTTCTAAATGATTTTTTAATTATTTTTAACATATATTTTGAATTTCAGTTGTTGAGTGGTGGGATGAAAGATGGTGGAGGAGTGGTGAAACCATCACCTCTGTCAATTCAGCCAGCTCTGCCTAATGCCCCGACTGAAAATGATCTCATTACTAGTAAGTTAAATGACCTCTTAATTGTTTATCAGTCCAATTATAGGAAATGAATAAGTAAGTTTTTGTTAAATGACTTTGAATGTACTGTATTTAACCCTTTCACTGTTGCAACTTATTCCTCCCATCAAAAAAAAAAAATTATTGCTGACAGTGTTGCAATTTTTTAAGAAATAAATTCTTTTGAAATGGTAGAGAATCTTTCCTAAAGGTAATGCCTTCCAAAATGTGAAATGTGATAGGAAACTTGCAGAATTATGTAGGTGTATAGTTGATGGTCTGGGCACAATTTGCACATTGGAAATTTCGACCACTGAGTCCTATTTTCAGCCAGTTCCATTGCTCAGTTCGCTCCAGTTTCCAGGTATTTCACTGTTCACAAGACACTTAACCATTCATCTTTCTGAACTACCCTATAAATTGCACAGTAGATAATTTGGTTATTTTTTTCAAATTTAAGAAATTCCAGGTTTACAACTGTCCAAAATAAATACTGTAAATACTCCAGCCACACTAACAATATTTCCTCTGTTCATCAATCACATCCCTAGGCCCCTCCTTTATAACACTTACCCTTCATTTTCAATCAGTTATCACACAAAGAAACTGAAATTTAACCTTATTTCTTGGCTTCATAAAATATTACTAAGAATGATTGGTGATGGTTTAAGCAGGCCCAGTGATTGAAAACAAACCTAGTTAAAAACCCATAAAATAGACTGGGGGTGGTAGGGGGGTGGATCCTATCCTTCTTCAGGAAAATCGTCAAAAATCAAATATTTAGTCTATTCTGAGGCCTATTTCTGGTCTGAAACCGACCAGAATCAACTCTAATTCGCTAGTATGTTTTCCGGCCTATCAACTGATACCAGGAAACAGTGAATAAAACAATAAAAACTACCCTAGAAAACCTCAGTCACAAATTTAAATCAAACACAAGGTCTGAGGTTTGCTTTTCCCATCGTGCACTGCGTGGGGCAAGGTTCATTTTTATACTGTGCACACAAACCTCACACACTCATGTCTAGCCCAAAACCTACTGCTCAGCATATGTAAGGGCACTGTGCTTGAAATGTAGATTCATGTGAACAACAGTAGGCATTGACATAGATCTTTGTGGGAGACTGTGAAAGGGTTAATGTCATAGAAAATACATTTTTTTTTTATTATCCAAAATTCACCTGGTCAGAATGGTCCAAAATTCACCTGGTCAGAATGATACACAAACAGTGGCAGCAGCAACCTCCAAGCTCCGTACTTTTCTCCAACTATCAGAGCCACCAATGCTCCTATGATGACCTAGTTACAAGCAAAACTGCACTACCCAACGTAGCACCCAGAATGACCAAAGATTACCAACAGTGAAACCTACAAATCGAAAATGTTAGAGATCAAAGGAAGACTGCCCACAAACCGAAAGCAACACCCCGCTGCCAGCCGAACAACGTAACCCCAAGCTTTGTATAACTACTTCTTCTTAACTACAACAATTCCTGTAGTATTATGAGGTGCAATCTAGGAGGAAACAGCACCAAGGCCAGCAAGAAAACACCGAAAAATCAACTATTCAACAAGTGTAACCAGGAGGACGCCGGCCCAGCAACCACCCCACTCACCACCGCTCAAGGCGACACCACAACAATAACAACAAATATGGCTGCCACCAGCCCATCCTCCCCTCTCTTCCCCGGATTCAACCTACCAAGTAGTCTCTCAGGTATGACCAACGATCCAGATACCCTAAAGACATGCATCTCCACCTTAGTTATTGAAAATATGAATCTTCGAGAGACATTAACAAAACAAGACACCAGGATGACACAACTCGAGAACAAAATCCTCAGTCTTGAACAAAAGTTATCAACACCAGGAATGACTAACTGTGACAAGACCATCCAAACAGTCATAGATAGCCATACCCAACAAATAATATCTCTTAATACAAAGGTTGAAGAAGCAGTAAAAGAATGGAAGAACAACTTAGATAACCAGTTCAGTGACTACTTTGCTCTCCAAGAAGATAAAACTGAACAAGATAAACTATCGGACGCAGTAATAGTTAACAGTCCACTTTTTCCCAGTGATATGAACCAAACAAACAGTAAAGAAATTACTCTGCAGATCATAAAGGACCAAACAAGTGTTATTGTACCAGAGTCAGAAATAAAAGAAGCCAGGTTACTAGGATCCCATGGTAGAAAAAGTGTTATGCTTAGATTCCACTCACATGACAGGAAAAAAGACTTAATAATTGCATCTATTAAAGTAAAGAAAGAGGTATACATAACGAGTGTCTTACCAAAAAACGTCAGAACCTCCTGTATAGAGTCAGAAAACTTAAGCGGGAGAATAATGACACAATACACCAATGCTTCACACGGGATGGGAAAATTCTAGTTAGGAAAACAAATGTAGGTCAACTGTACACAATCACGAACGAGAATGATCTATCACGATTTCTCAGGGATACTGATCTTACAGAGAATAACTAAATATCCAACCTAAAAGCCTACGTAATGTAGTGTATGTTTTGCTCCATTATTGTTCAAATCTCGTAGTACAATCTCTTAGTAATTAAATAATCAACTACCTCATTTTGTGATTTTACTAGTAAGCATAAGTCACCCTTATCTAATTTTCTTATTTACTATTGTTTGCTTAAATATTAGCTGAATCGATACTTTCTCTGTCCATATTACTACCTATTTTTTTAAATACTATCAATTGATATTACTTACTAAAATTAATAATTACCATTTTTACTATCAATATAATTTACTCTTAACATTTTTGACATCATTTAATAACCATTACTTGTCTAATTACCTTAACCAGTTTTAATACCACATTTACTATCTTAGAGTACTCTTAATTACCTTGTACTGCCAAATAACCTCAAGTATAACTACCAGTGCAATTTTGAAAGAAATAAACATTACTTTTTCACTTATTTTGTAATCATTATTACTTACTAAAATTTTATTAAACACCATATTTACTACCAGTCAATTTTACTTTTGTACATTAATCATTATTTTATACTTCCCATAACATTTTGTTGCCAAATTTCCAAGTTTGTATATTCAACTCCAACCTTTATATTATCCTTTGTACCTGTGTATCTGTGTACCTGTCTACCATCTTACTATCATATTATAACCAAGACATTGCCATTGTTATTTTTTACTTATTATTCTTTTGGTACTTTAATTTGTGAATTTTATTTTGTCATTTTAAATCTAGTTATACTCTTGATCTTGTCAACAACCTATACCAGACCCTAGTGCAATTGCAAGTTCCATTTCAAATTGTATTTTTATATTGTAAGTTTATATTATAAGTCCTATTCTAAGATTGTTTTCATATCTTAGTGACTATATTGTGTGTGCAATTAGTGTATATTTCAATTATATTATTGTTCAAGGCCCTTAACTATCTTTTGCTAACTAGTACCAACTACCTCATATATTATTTTTTTTTTCTACTTTTTTTATTATTTTGCTACCTTAACTTGCATATTTTATCTTGTCAATTTAAATCTAGTTATACTCTAATTCTTGTAAACAACTTATATAAGACCTTAGTGCAATTACAATTGAGAGTCTTGTGCCTTTTTTATATCATTAGATTAAACTCAGTTGTACTATAGCTCATTCTAGCTCAATACATAGTCAATACCAAATTCATTATATTAGACCATAGTGTAATTACTAGTGAGAGTCTGGTGCTATTTTTAATTTGTATTTTTATATTATTAGATTAAACCTAGTTGTACTATAGCTCATTCTAGCTCAATACATAGACTCCACAAAAGTCATTATATTAGACCTTAGTGCAATTACAAGTGAGAGTATTGTGCTATTTTTAATTTGTATTTTTATATTATTAGTTTATACCTAGTTGTACTTCAGCTCATTCCAGCACAACACATAGACAACACAACTCCATTATGTGTATTAGTGATTATACTCTCCATGACCAAAATGCTATAGCTATACACTTGTCCAAACTTCCCACCACTACTGATATCAGTACTAAAACTCAACCCACAACTCAGGATATAAATAACCATAATTTAAACCTAGAAGATGATTGATCACGTTGACCCTGATCTAAACCTCCATAATCTGACACACAATCAAAACCTGTTGGAAAGTAACTGCCTTTACTACACAGCATCACAAGCCAGCACTATTCTAAACAATGCTAAAAGTCTATCAGTACTTAACTACAACATCAGGTCCTTAAGCAAACACTATGATGACCTCCTGGCACTCCTTGAATCACTAAAGACACCCTTCTCCTGCATTATTCTTACTGAGACCTGGCTTAAGCAGGACATAATAGATATCTACCCTCTACCAGGATACACAGCAGTCCACAACTGCAGACCATACCAAGTTGGGGGTAGTATTGCAATCTATTACTCTAACCAATTATCTTGTATTAGCACCACTTGCTTTAGTGATGAATATGGAGAATACATTTTTGCTAATTTTACTGTAAAAAACCTTAAGACGCCTATAACAATCGGTGCCATTTACCGGATACCCCACACAAACATCCCAAATTTCAGTGAGAAACTAAAGGCACTAACAACAAACAGACAAATGAATAAGCACCACCTTCTCTTAGCTGGAGACTTCAACATCAACCTTGGCCTACTAGATGATCAGCCTGTAACTGATTTCATCAACAATATGAACAACACACTTCTCATACCAACAATAACTAAACCAACCAGGCTCACTGAAACGAGTGCAACCATAATAGACCACATATGGACCAATATACTAGCCCCCCTTAAATCAGGGATAATCACAGATAGCACTACAGACCACTACCCTACCTTCCTCTTGACAAACATTAGTAAACCACCACTTGAATACAACAAAGTTTCGTTTAGACTCCATGATGAGGCCTCAATAAGGAAGTTCACAGCTGACCTAGAGACTGTTGACTGGCCTACGGAATTCTCCAAGGCCAATGGTATTGACGACTGGACAGACATTTTTCTTAACAAATTACTTAGACTATACAACAAACATTGTCCTATAAAAACAAAACAGATCACAAACAAACGGCTTGGTTGCCCATGGCTAACCAGCACCATTCTGAAATCCATTGATAAGAAACATCAACATGAAAAGCAATATAGACAGAGCTTAATACACAAAGATATTCTTAAACACTATTCATCAGTCCTCACCAAAGTAATAAAGAAAGCCAAACAACTATACTACTCCAGTAGATTCACTGACACAAGTGGAGATATAAAAAAGACCTGGAAAACACACACTCAGATTCTAGGGACCCAAAAACTGAAAAAAAAAAAGAATATTGCCCTAACTAAACCTAATGAAACACCACTGCATCCCACTGACACAGCTAACAACATAAACGACTTCTTCTCAACCATAGGTTCTAATCTCGCCAATAAAATCCCACGCACCAATGCCTATGCTGGGGACTACCTAGATGGGAATTTCCCAAATTCCTTCTATCTTGCTCCAACTGAGCCCATGGAAGTCACCGAGATTATAAAGTCACTTAAAAGTAACTCAGGGAATCTGTCTCATGTCCCACCATTATTGTACAAGAGAGCGGCCCATGTCCTCTCGCATGCTATCTCATTACTTTTTAACACGTCACTAGAAACTAGCACCTTCCTGAAACTACTCAAGACGGCAAGGGTTACACCAATACATAAAGGTGGTGACCCTACAGATTTAAACAACTATAGGCCAATATCAAACTTACCATTGCTATCCAAAATCTTTGAGAAACTCGTGCACAGGAGACTATATTCATTTATAACGGCACAAAACATACTCAACCCCTGCCAATTTGGATTCAGGAAAAATAAAAGCACTAACGATGCATTCATAAAAATGCTAGATCTGCTTTACACAGCATTGGAAAATAAGGAATATCCACTAGGAATTTTTATTGACCTAAGAAAAGCTTTTGACACAGTAGACCACGGCATCCTACTCCATAAACTTGACCATTATGGTATAAGAGGCCATGCGCTTGCATATTTCAAATCTTACCTTACTAATAGGTATCAGTATGTCACCATTAAAGACACAGCATCAACAACACAGCCACTTGATACTGGAGTTTCGCAGGGAAGTGTCCTTGGTCCCCTGCTCTTCCTCATATACATCAGTGATCTTCCAAACGTATCTCAACACCTGAACCCCATTCTCTTTGCTGACGACATGACTTACGTCATCTCTCACCCTAATCTTGCCACCCTCAACACCATTGTTAATGAGGAGCTGATCAAAATATCGACTTGGATGACAGCCAATAAACATATGCTTAACACTGACAAAACCTTCTACATTATGTTTGGTAGCAGAGCAGGAGATGCGCAAATTAACATTAAGATCGACAACACTCTAATTGCCAGGCATAATGAGGGCAAATTCCTAGGCCTATACCTCGACAACAACCTGAACTTCACACCCATATCCAACACATAACCAAAAAAGTATCCAAAACGGTTGGGATCCTCTCCAAGATACGATACTACGTGCCGCAAACTGCCCTTCTCACACTATACCATTCACTTATATATCCATACCTCACCTATGCTGTATGTGCTTGGGGTTCAACTGCAGCAACACACCTAAAGCCAATAATAACCCAACAAAAAGTCGCAGTAAGAATAATCACTAAATCCCATCCCTGGCAACACACCCCCCCCACTCTTCATAGATCTAAACTTACTCCCTGTTCAGTACATCCACACTTACTACTGTGCAATCTACATCTACAGGACCTTAAATTCCAATATTAACCTTGACCTAAAACGCTTTCTTGATAGTTGCGACAGGACCCACAGGCACAATACCAGACACAAACATCTCTATGACATTCCCCATGTCCGACTAAACCTTCACAAAAATTCAATGTATGTCAAAGGCCCTAAAATCTGGAACACCCTACATGAAAATTCTAAAACTGCAGACACATTCATCACCTTCAAAACTACCATCAGAAAACATCTTATCTCCCTGATACACCCTGTCAACTAATTACACGAATACCACCTGGTGGTTAACACTTACACTCACTCACCCATTTGACCATAAACAGAAATATCAATCTCAATCTCAAAATAATGAATCTTAACTAGTCATAAGTTGGCCTGTGATACTCCAATACTGAAACTATGTATAGTACCAAAACAAAAGCATTCACATTGCTAAACTCACAAACTAGTATTTAGTCACTTAGCCATAATACCAACTTACCTCATAATTTTGTAATATTTTAAACTTAAGATTTAATTTAAGTCTGCCCGAAATGCCTAGCCATGCTAGGTGTTCTAGTGGTACACTCTGTAATTATTATTTTACTACTTGTAAACAATACAATAACCAAATTCTGTAAACTCAGCATTGTAATCTTTATAGAGAATAAACTTTGAATAGGAATGGGATGGGTGGCAGTAACAGTAGTGAGTGTGTGAGTATATGGATCTCTATTATCCACATTTTACCTCATTTTCTCCTGCATTTTTGCTGAGAAAAAATTTTTGAGTGAGATGAACAAGTTAAGAAAGTCTAGGGAACGAATGGATCTTCCAGTTAAAAACAGAGTAGGAGAGTTAGTTGACGGGGAGCTGGAGGCATTGGGTAGATGGCGGGAATATTTTGAGGAACTTTTAAATGTCGATGAAGAAAGGGAGGCAGTAATTTTGTGCACTGGCCAGGGAGGTATAACATCTTTTAGGAGTGAAGAAGAGCAGGATGAGAGTGTGGGGGAGGTGCGTGAGGCATTACGTAGAATGAAAGGGGGTAAAGCATCTGGATCTGACGGGATCATGACAGAAATGCTAAAAGCAAGGGGAAATAGTGTTGGAGTGGTTGATATTTTTGTTTAATAATGTTTGAAAGAGGGGACGGTACCTAGGGATTGGTAGTGTGTGTGTATAATTCCTTTATATAAAGGCAAGGGGGACAAGAGATTGTAAAAATTATAGGAGAATAAGTTTACTGAGTATGCCAGGTAAAGTGTATGGTAGAGTTATTATTGAAAGAATTAGAGGTAAGACTGAGAGCAGGATTGAAGATGAGCAAGGGGGCTTTAGAATGGGTAGGGGATATGTAGATCAAGTGTTTACATTGAAACATATATGTGAACAGTATTTAGAAAAAGGTAGGGAATTTTTTATTGCATTTATGGATTTAAAAAAGGCATGTGATAGGGTGGATATGGGAACAATGTGGCAGATGTCGCAAGCGTATGGAGTAGGTAGTAAGTTACTAAATGCTGTAAAGAGTTTATGAGGATAGTGAGGCTCAGGTTAGGGTGTGTAGGAGAGAGGATAATTTCCCAGTAAAAGTAGGTCTTACGGATGTGTAATGTCACCATAGTTGTTTAAGATATTTATAGATGGGGTTGTAAAAGGAGTAAATGCTAGTGTTCGGGAGAGGGGTGGGATTAAATTATGGGGAATCAAATACAAAATAGGAGTTGAAACAGTTACTTTTTGCTGATGATACTGAATTTTTGGGGATTCTAAAGAAAAGCTGCAAAGGTTAGTGGACAAGTTTGGGAGGGTGTGTAATGGTAGAAAGTTGAAAGTGAACATAAATAAGAGTAAGGTGATGAGGGTATCAAATGATTTAGATAAAGAAAAATTGGATATCACATTGGAGGGAGGGAGTATGGAAGAGGTGAATGTTTTCAGATGTTTGGGAGTTGACATGTCAGCAGAGGGGTATATGAAGGATGAGGTTAACCATAAAATTGATGAAGGAAACAAAGTGAGTGATGCGTTGAGGTATCTGTGGAAACAAAGAACATTATCCTTGGAGGCAAAGAAGAGAATGTATAAGAGTATAGTGGTACCAACACACTTGAGTGAGTGTGAAGCATGTGCTGTAAATGCTGTAGTGAGGAGGCTGCTGGAGGCAGTGGAGATGTGTCTAAGGGTAGTGTGTAGTGTAAATATTATGCAGAGAATTTGTAATGTGGATATTAGGAGTTGTGGGGTTACTAAAATTATTAGAGGGCTGAAGAGGGGTTGTTCAAATGGTTTGGTCATTTAGATAGAATGGAACAAAGTAGAATGACTTGGAGAGTGTATAAATCTGTAGGGAAAGGAAGGTGAGGTAGGGGTGGTCCACATAAGGTTGGAGGGAGAGGGTAAAGGAGGTTTTGTGGGTGAGGGACTTGGACTTCCAGCAAGCGTGTGTGAGCGTGTTAGGAGTGAATGGAGACGAATGGTTTTTGGGACCTGATGAGCTGCTGCAGTGTGAGCAGGGTAATATTTCGTTAAGGGATTAAGGGAAACCAGTTAACCGGACTTGAGTCCTGGAAATGTGGAGTATGGCGCTTGCACTTTAAAGGAGGGGTTTGGGATATTGGCAGTTTGGAGGGATGTCAAAGCTGTCATATCTGAGCGCCTCTGTAAAGACAGTGATTATGTATAAGTGATAGTGAAAGTGTTGAATGATGAAAGTTTTTTCTTACTTTTTGGGATTTTCTTTGTTTTTGGCTTAAAGTGAGTGGGTGAGTTGGTTGGCAGTAGGAAGTTGGTGGCAAGACAGGAGAATGTACAGCTTGATTTCCACAAGTACTGTACATTAGCTTCCTCTTACATTTAAGAAAAAAAAATCTATGTATGTGCTATATGAAGGTAATATGTAAATAATTGGTAATACTATATATTATAGAAATGCAACAAATAATATTGGTTAACAGTTCATTCATTTAAAAAAAAAATTTTTTTTTGTGTACTAAATATTTTTTGTGGATGGGAAAATAAGTTACTTGGCTTTTCTAGTGCTTATGAAAGGTAGTGCTGGCAGTCATGGACATCAGCAACCCCGCAACATGCTCCCTCCTGCTGTACCTAACCTCAACATACCACCTCCAAGTATGGTGGCCCATTATCAACCACCACCCAACATGCCTCAGATCCAAGGTCAAGGACCTTGTACTCAGGATGTCATATTAAAATTAATACAAGCTCAGCAGCAACAGCAGCAGCATCAACAGCAGCAGCAACAAAAGAGACAACAGCAACTCTTACAGCAGGTAGGATATTATGTTAACCTGTTCATGGAGCTCCTAGGTAGCATTTAGTTCCCATTGAGCCTCTTGTTGTGTATAGAAAAGTATGTGAACGTTCATTTTTTTTTCCAAATCTTTTCCCCAAATCTTTAAAGATGCAGTTCTCCAAAACAGTTTTCCTAATTTTGCCTGGTGCAAGTTATTTTGGAAAAGCAAATGATTATTTTTTTTAATATACCAGCCGTCTCCCACTGATGTAGGGTGACCTGATAAAGAAGAAATGCTTTCACTCTTGCTTATACAATTACACTTGTGCTGAAAGCATGCTAACATTGCAGTTTAGATGGCCCTCTGAGCTGCAGTATCACTACCTCTCCTTCAGAGTACAGGCACTGTACTCTCCACCTCCAGGTTTCCCCTAAATCCCTTCATAAAAGTTAACCTGCTTAAACTTCAACAGCACTTTGTCATGAAAACCACTTGCATTCACTCCTATCAAACGTGCGCATACAAGCCTGTTTGATGTCTAAGCCCCTGGTACTTAAAGCCTCCTACATCCCCTCCCTCCAACCTGTCCTGTGACTACCCCTTACTCTCTCTCCCTCCACTCTAGAGTTATACACCCTTCAAGAAGAAACTAGATAATTTCCTTCACTGAGTGCTGGATCATCCAGGCTGTGATGAATATGTGGGCCAGCATGCCACCAGCAACAATAGGTTGGTTGACTAGGCAAGGACCAGACAAGCCTGGCTCAGCCAGGCTGTGAGAGTAGGTTAATCTTCCAAAACCCATCAAAGGTAAGGGTAACCTCTTTTCAGGTCTGAGTAAAAGTTTTGATAAACCCCTACCTAACCTCCAAATCCAAATTCTCTGAATAATAATCACACTACATATTGCCCTCAAACACAACATCTCCAGCCTCCTCCTTGCTGCAACTTTAAAAACACCCTCCTAAACTCGTCCACTAACCTTTGCAACTTTTCTTTAGAATCCCGCAAAAGCACAGAATCATCAGCAAAAAGTAAACGTGTCAACTCCCATTTTGTATTTGATTCCCCATAATTTAATCCCACCCCTCTCCCTAACACCCTAGAATTTACTTCTCTCTCCTATACACCCTAACATGAACCTCGCTATCCTCATAAAAACATTTTACAGCATTTAGTAACTTACTACCTATTTCATACATTTGCAACATCTGCCACATTGCTCCCTTATCCACCCTATCATATGCGATTCTGAATCCATAAATGCAGTGAAAACTTCCCTACCTTTATCTAAATACTGTTCACAATATGCTTCAATGTAAACACCTGATGTACACATCTCCTACCCATTCTAAAGCCTCCTTGCTCATCTGCAATCCTGTTCTCTGTTTTACTTCTTAATTCTTTCAATAGTAACCCTACGTACACTTTACCTGGTAAACTCAGTAAACTTGTTTATTTTTATTGTTTATTATCACATCGGCTGTTTTCCACCAAGGCAGGGTGCCCTGAAAAAGAAAATCTGTCATCATTCACTCCATCACTGTCTTGCCTGAGGCATGCTTGCACTTCAGTTATAAAACTGCAACATTAACACCTCTCCTTCAGAGTGCTGGCACTGTACTTCCCATCTCCAGGAATCAAGTCCAACCTGCTGGTTTCCCTGAATCCCTTCATAAATGTTACCTTGCTTACACACTAGCAGCATGTCGAGTCCTAAAAACCATTTGCTCCTATCTAACATGCTCGTGTACTTTTGCTGGAAGTCCAAGTCCCTCGCACACTAAACCTTCTTTACCCCCTCCCTCCAACCTTTCCTAGGCCTGTGATTCACCTCATCTTTCGTAGACCCATCTGCTGACACGTCTGCTCCCTAATATCTGAATATATTCACCTCCTCCATACTCTCTCTCTCCAATCTGATAGCCAATCTTATGTTACCTAATTTTTTGGTTTTCCTCATCACCTTACTCTTTCCTATATTCGCTTTTAATTTCCTTCTTTTAAATACCCTGCCAAACTGATCAACCAACCTCTGCAACTTCTCTTTAGAATCTCCCAAAAGCATAGTGTCATCAGCAAAGAGCAACTGCGACAACTCCCACTTTGTGTTATTGTTTTTCTTTTAGCCCCACACCTCTTGCCATTCACTTCTCATACGACTCCATCTATAAATATATTGAACAACCATGGTGATATCACACATCCCTGACTAAGGCCTACTTTTACTGGGAAAAAATTTCCTCTGCCTATATACTCTAACCTGAGCCTCACTATCCTTGTTAAGACTCTTCACTGCTTTTAATAACCTACCTCCTGTTCCATACTTTTTGCAAATCTACCACATTGCCCCCTTATCCTCCGTATCATAAGCTTTTTTTCAAATTCATAAATGCCACAAAAACCTTTTTACCCTTTTCTAAATACTGTTCACCTATATGTTTCACTGCAAACACTTGGTCTACACATCCCCTACCCTTCCTAAAGCCTCCTTGCTCATCTGCTATCCTGCTCTCCATCTTACTCTTTATTCTTTCAATAATTCTACCATACACTTTACCAGGTATACTCGGCAGATTTATTCCCCTATAATTTTTACTCACTCTTTTGTCCTCTTTGCCGCTATGCAAAGGAACTATGCATGTTCGCTGCCAATCCCTAGGTACCTTACCCTCTTCCATACATTTATTAAATAAAAGCAGTAACTACTCTAAAACTATATCCCAACCTGCTTTTACCATTTTTATCTTTATCACACGAATCCCAGCTGCTTTACCCCCTTTCATTGTGCCCACTGCCCCACACATTTATCCCCCACTCACAACCGGTTCTTCACTCCTTGAAGATGTTATTCCTCCTTTCCCTAGACACAAAATCACAGCTTCCCTATCTTCAACATTTAACAATTCTTCAAAATATTTCCTTCATCTTCCCGATACCTCTAACCTCTAGGCTTTCTTAACTTATTAATCTCACTCCAAAACTTTCTTATATTCAACAAAATTTGTTGATAACATTTCACTCACTCTCTCATTTGCTCTTTTTTCATTGCTTCACCACTCTCTTAACCTTTCTTTTTCCCTCCATATACTCCTCCCTCCTTGCATCACTTCTACTTTGTAAAAACCTCTCATATGCTAACTTTATCTCTTACTACTCTCTTTACGTCATTCCACCAATCACTCTTTTTCCCTCCCGCACTCACTTTCCTGTAACCATAAAAAATAGTGTTAGATTGTTCTGCTGAGCACACTAACACTATATTCGTAAACTTACCCCATATATCTTCTACCCCTTTGCCTATACTCATAATAGCCCATCTGTCCTCCATCATTTGTTTATATCTTACCCTAACTGTCTCCTCCTTTAGTTTGTAAACCTTCACCTCTCTGTTACTTACGGTTTCCATTTTCCTTGTAACCCATCTACCTTTTACTCTTACTCTAGCTACAACTAAAAATTGATCTGATATATCTGTGGCCCCTCCATGAACATGTACATCCTGAAATCTACCCAACAGTCTTTTGTCTACCAATGCATAGTCCAACAAACTATTGTCATTATGCCCTATATCATATCCTGTATACTTATTTATCCTCTTTTTCTTAAAATGTGTGTTAACTATAACCAAACCCTTTTCTATACAAAGTTCAATCAAATGCTCCCCATTATCATTTACACCTGGCACCCTAAACTTACCTACCACACCCTCTCTAAATGCTTCTCCTACTTTAGCATTTAGGTCCCCTACCACAGTTACTCTCTCAGTTGGCTCAGAAATTCTTACACACTCGCTTAACGTCTCCCAAAATCTCTCTCTCTCTCTCTCGTCTACACTCCTCTCTTCTCCAGGTGCATACACTCTTAATATGACCCACTTTTCACATCCGACCTTCATTTTAAACCACATAATCATTGAATTTATATATTATTGCTACCCCTTCCATAGCTCTAACTCTCTTTGATACTCCTGACTTAATCCCATTTATTTCTCTCCCTGAAACTCCCCTACCCCCTTCAGTTTGGTTTTGCTTAGGGCTAGGACGTCCAACTTCTTTTCATTCATAACATTAGCAATCATTTCTTTGTTATCTGCGCTACATCTGCACACACATTCAGACATCCCAATTTTATAAAGTCTTTCTTTTCCTTGTTTTTAGTAGTTTTTACAGGAGAAGGGGTTACTAGCTCATTGCTCTCAGCATTTAGTCCCCTCCAACGACACGCATGGCTTACGGAGGAAGAATTCTGTTCCACTTTCCCATGGAGATAAGCAGAAATAAACAAGAACAAGAACTAGGAAGAAAATAGAAGAAAACCCAGAGGGGTTAGTATGTATATGCTTGTACTTGTATGTGTTGTGTGACCTAAGTGTAAGTAAAAGTAGTGAGACATACCTGCAACCTTGCATGTTTGAGACAAAAAGACACCAGCAATCCTACGATCATGCAAAACAATTACAGGCTTGTTTCACACTCATTTGGTAGGACGGTAGTACCTCTGAGTGGTTGCTGTTTACCAACCTACTGTCTTATTTCCCTGTAGTTTTTATAATCTCTCTTGTCCACCTTCCCTTTTCATACATTTATGAAACGAAAAGTCAAACCACTCCAACACTACTTTTATTGAAAGAATTAAAGGTAAGACAGAGAGCAGGATTGCAGATAAGCAAGGAAGCTTTAGATTGGGTAGTGGATGTGTAGATCAGGTGTTTACATTGAAACACACATAGGTCCGCCATCACAAATCCGGCAATCAGTTATTCGGTTCCTTCAGTTATTTGGCACTAATTTTTGGCTAGCATAATTTCAAATTTCCAGGGTTGCCACACCAACCTGCTGGCACTCTTTGGTGGTGCTAATTGCTGCATAAGTCATGCTAATTTCTTTTTCTCCATTTGTTATAACCTGCTTACTTTAGCCCTAGCCATGGTTCCAGTGAATAAAAGAAATGCTTCTCGTTGTGTAAAGCACCTACACAGTACATTGGCTTTGAAGCCACTGTCGGTTGCCATGAGCTCAGTCTTGTGATGCAGG